AAGACATGCCCACCAACCAGTGCTATTTCCCCAAATAGCACTATCTTCCCAATTTAAACAGCCTTCTCTGAAAAGATGCTATTTGAAAAGCCTGGGGTATTGATATGAATATGACCTCACTTGAATTCTGGATATTTGGAACTATTTAAATCTGAGGGAGCAGTTGCAGTGAACCTTTATTTAGTGAATAAAAGTTTAAAGCCAAAGGTTATTTATGGTTCTGGAGAGATGGGACCTGAGTGGCTATTTACGAGCACGTGATTCCAATAAACTTTGTTTTATGGCTTGAGAGTTGACAAGCCAAAATATAATTCCCACCATAAATTAGGTTAAGAGCATACAAGTGCAGATGCTTGGTTCCTGGAGCAGCGATAGGAAAGTGAGAGGCTCCAGCCAGCGCCGGGCTCAGAAGGAGACATTTCTACTCTCAGCGCCCCTGCCTACCAGGAAAGAAAACCAGTAAGTCACTTATTACTTTTTCCATCACAACTTCAGAGGTAGGAGATTTCTTTGCCTGGACTTTTCTGTTTGGGGGATGTCCCATTGAAGTGAATTCTCATTTGAGCTTAAAATAAAATAAGCAGAATGGAAATCCCAGGTTTCTTCCCTTCCCTTCTGGCCATGGAAAGTTAGGAATTGTGGCTTGCACCTCACAGGAAGGACTTACTGCCTCTCTTCTCCCAGTGATGGAGTATCTGCCTCAGGAATGGAACAAAACAGTGGTGATGTGGGTGGAGAGAGGGCGTAGAGTGTGGAGATGGCTTTGCTCTGAGACTTCTCATAGCAAATTACCATCCTGGAATAAAACTGGAGAAGACTGAAAACTTAAAGCTAGACACCACCCCCCTCCCCCCAGAGGACCACTGCTTTGTGAGTTGGGTGTGTGGGTCCTCTTGCAGCAATGCTGAAAACTTCATGCCATACTCATAGAATTAGATAACAATCTAAAGCCTTGCCATTTACCTTTTAACTCATTGATTTTCCCCCCTCCTTGGTTATCATTTAAGTCCTCATTTTCTTCAGGAAATGGCTCTTTGTTTTGAATTGGTTAAGGAGTGGAAAGGCAAATCCAACCATGCCTGAACCTTCTTTGGGGAGAAGTCAGGTTTGGGGAGGTAGTCAGTGGTTAAAGCTGAGGAATTTGAAACAAAGCAGAAGCTGGAAAAGGAGACCTAACTGCTTCCAGAGCCAGAAAGATCAGGAACCAAGGTGGCAACCCCATACCCCAGTGGACGTGCACCCACCGGGCTGATTGTGCAGGAAGGAAACTCACGAGGGCCTATTTTCTGCCGTTTTCCGTTTTCCCACTGGCCACCCGGTTATAGTCTGAGTCGAGCCAAACAGCCAGTAAGGCTTTGCCCAGGAGTGCACGGAGTTGGGGAGTGGGGAGGCGATGAGCATCGAACTCCGAACTCCGGCAGGCACGGGTCTGCCCTTGAGATAGCAGCGCAGAACTTTGCGCAGTTCTGGGGGGGGGCGGGGACGGGCACCAGAAGCAGGGAGGTCTGGGTATTGGCGAGGTGTCCCGGCCTTGCCATGTTTCTGTGTGTCTTCTACTTCTGTTTTCTTGTCCTGTAAGATTTAAGTGACCCTCGTTTTCATTGCAACAGGTTCCGGGCCATGAGAGACCGCTGCTGTAAGTACCTTCCCGTTTCTTCGGAATTGTGAAAAAGCAGTACTGATGCGGGGAGGTGGTGGGCGAAGGGCTGCGGCAGCAGGGTGGGTGGGTGGAGGAACCGATCTGCTTCCCTAGGCCTGACCCGCCAGGAGAGCTGGCTTCTAGAAAGTGGAAGTTCTGGGTTGAGTTTCTAGAAAGGTTTTCTTGGGGGCCTAGTTCACAGTCACCTGCACAAGGGAAGAAGGCACTGCAGGAGGCTTGCCCTAGGCTCCCGGGGCCTTCCCCAACCTTCCCTGCCATCCTAGGCTTCGCTGTGCGCACAGGTGCAGCTCTGCTGGAGCGCTCCCTTCGGTTTAAGAGCTGGAAGCTAATTAGCAGCCCAACCTATTTAAGGAGTTGCAGCATTTCCTCCTGCCCAAAGTGACATAGTAAACAAGGCAAGTGGATCCTGCTCCCGCAGCTGACTCCAGCAACATCTGGCCAAGTCTAGCCCAACCTTCTTCCTGTTTATTTTTAAAATTTTAAAATCGATGTATTAAAAAGAAAACCAAAATATATGGTCTTGGGTGTGTTGAGTCGGCCCCCTTGAAGAAAAGGATGAGGGTTCTGAGCTTTCCCTGAGCATCCTGTCCTGCCCTCCCGTTGCCCTAGCTCCAGTGGTATGGGTCCTAGGTCTGGGATACTGGCTGAGCATGGGGGGTATGGTTCTTCTCCTTCACCTCTGCTCTTTGGTAACTTCAGTTCAATAATTTCCGCACCAGACTTGCTGGTGTCACAAAGAACACCAGCAGGACTGGATCATGTAGAACCAGAAACTCTTGAATTTCTTGACTGAGAAGTTTAAATCTGACCCACCTAAGCAGCTAAAAGCAGTACAATTTTGAGGAGGCCAGTGCTAGCTTCTGGAAGATAGTTTTATTGAGATAAAAAACATGGTGGTGAGTCAATTTTATTTTGATGAAAGATGGCACACGCAAGAGCTCAATAAACCAGGCATCCCTCCCCCTTGTATAACACCATCTCTTCATAGAAAAGCTGGGGCTAGGCTCAGGGCCAGATTTCTTTATCCAGTTTGGCAGGGTAGCCTAGATGACCCTCTGGGAGCTGTGCTCACCCAGAGATGCTGAGATCCACACAGAATGTAGTTCCTCTCTATAACAGGCTGGCTCTGGGTTTCAGCCCAGATCTGGTGTCCCCAGATCTCCCTGCTTTGCCCCCCCCTTCTTCTGTTGCCCTGGCTCTGAGTGCTCATCTCTGCAGAGCTGCTCTCTGGCAAACCCACATTTGGCGCCTTGTAGCTGAACACAGCACAAAAAGCTAGGGAGATCAAAAGCATTAGTATGGGCAGTTGAGCGGGAGGTGAATATTTAACGCTTTTGTTCATCAATAACTCATTGGCTTTGACCTGTCTGAACAAGGCGAGCAATAAGGTGAAATGCAGGTCACAGCGTCTAACAAATATGAAAATGTTTACACTCCCCCCCCCAATTCTGCTCAGACCAGCAGGCTTCCCCAGTTTGTCTGGATAAACCCCAGGTAGGCCCTGTGTCGTGAGGAAGGTGCGTAGGTAAAAATACTTGGCATTAGGGAAAATTGTGGAGACTCTCCTGGGACAAACAGATTCAGCAGCCTTAGAGCCATTTATTATTAGAACTGGCATCCTAGAAACCTCTGAGAAATAGCTAAAACGGTAGAACCAAAGAATTGGGGTGGGGTATCATGCAAAGTATACACTAGAAGTGAACAACTGATTTTTGCCGGTTTGGGTAGGAGGAGTCACCTTGCCCTAACCCCACCAAGATTCAATCCAGGCCCAAGGTTTGAGAGTCATTTTTAATTATGGGGGAGGTGAGTAAAACAATTAAAAAATGGATATCTTCAGCCTACCACCAGGCACCTAAAAGCCCTATGCAATCCAGGGCATCTTTCTGCCACTGAATTCAGTCCAGCCCCTAAGTGCATCTGTGTTCTTGATGCCCTGAATTGAGGGGCAAACCCTGGACAGTGTGGAGGCGCTGGGGCGGGTGAAATTCGTGAACTTTTGTACTCTTGTGTGCTGCTGTCGGCAAGGCAAAAATAATGAAACTTTGTGATATGTTTGTAAATGATTTCGAATGACCCCTCGCCCTGCCCTTCACCATTAGCACGCTGGTCTCAGCCCAGGGCGGCTCTGTGCCTGAGAGCAGAGCCTGCCTCCGGGTTTGCAGCAGCGGAGGGACGGAGAGGCCAGCCGGGCTGAGGGTCCAGGAAGGTAAATGCGCAACTTCTGGGAGAACTAGCTGTGACACCACTGGGCAGAGGGAAAAGGAAGGAGCTAGAGATACTCTTCTTTTGACTCTTTTTGTTTTTCTGCTGCTGCTGAGGGCATCTGCTCCTTTCTGGTGGGGAAAAAAATCCTAGAAAACAATCAAACAACAATAAAAATAAAAACCTACTGAATGAGATAGGGAAGGTAGTTGAATCCTGAGAGAAGGTACTAGAACCACCATCTCTGGGGTGGATTCTTTTCTTTTCTTTTTTTTTTTTTTTTAAAGAAGAATGCCCTAATGGCTCAGCCCTGGCCCTGGCAAATGAATGAGGGAACTTGCTACTTAGAATTGTCACCAAGCTACCTGAACTGTCTCTGAAAGCCAGGCTTCTTAGATCTGGCAGAGGCTCGGAGCAAGAGACCAGGGCTGGCAGCAGTCTGGGTATCTGTCCTGGATAGAACCCAGAAATTGTAACGTTGTCTATATATACCCTGTAGAACCGAATTTGTGTGGTATCCACATGTCACAGATTCGATTCTAGGGGAATATATGGTCGATGCAAAAACTTCATGTTTCTCCGAAATAACCAGAACTGGAGAGAGTAGAGGGAGCCGGTGCAGGTCACCAACTTCTTTCTGTTTTATTGCCTTGGACTTCAAGAGGATCGACTGTGCCTGGTGACACCGTGCATCCTTTCCCTGGAGAAGCTCCTCACCTTTAAATAGAGGTTTCCCTGGGTGCTACAAAAAGAAGCCTTAGCTGGTTTCATAAAAGCAGGGCCAAAGGGCTGGGTTTGGGGATCCTGGGAGTAAGGTAAAAGACCAGCTAGGTTCAGCTCGGCTCTCTAAGAAATAAGTGGTAAAGGTACCCAGACTGGGGCTTGTTGGCTTTTAAAAGCCCTTGTGTGGGAAAGCAAGCAAGCTGAGAAGTTCATGAGTACCTTTGTGGTGCATTTCAGAGGGGTCTCTTCACCACCTTTCTGGCTCAACACTCTTCAAGAGCCTGGACATCGATGTCCCCCTGCCATGCAGCAAGGCCCCACTTAGGCTAGGAGCACCCTACCCTGGGCACTAATAGGAAAGCATTGTGGTTACTCATTCCCTAACTTAATTCAGGCCCGCCAGATTCTGGTATCTTTTGGGTGACCCTGACGAAGACAAAGCCAGGACACAGTCTTTGTATGGCAGAGTCGCGTCTCCCGCCCGCCTGGGCCGGTGAACTGCCCGGCGAAGATACTCTGCCCAAGGCAGAGGCACCTTGCCCACTTACCCTTCCTTGCTTTGCACCCCGCTTGAATGACTCATTTTCCCCTGAACTGTGCCCATTTTGAGGGGTTGCTGCAGGCTATGGTGAGTGGAGAGGGCATGGAAGGTTAGCAAAGTCAGGGACAGAGGAAGAAAAAACAAAACAGTACCTGCTGGGGGTAGGGATGCTGGGGTTGGAACTACTTTAACATCTGGCGGGGACCCTCAAATGTGGCAAGGCGAGTCACTTGATTACACGTATGTTATTTAGTTAAATTTGTGAAAATTATGAGATGCTCACCAACCCGGTGATAAACTCGCTCCCTCCCCATTGGCTGGCCTGGTCACATGGCCGTCCAACTTTATTCAGTTGACAGCAAGTAGGAGGGCCCTATGGAAGGAGAAAAAAAGACAACACGAGAAAAATTAGTATTTTCTACCTTCTGAAATTAATGGCCATGAGTTCGTATATGGTGAACTCCAAGTATGTGGACCCCAAGTTTCCTCCGTGTGAGGAATATTTGCAGGGCGGCTACCTAGGCGAGCAGGGCACCGACTACTACAGCAGCGGCGCACAGGGCGCTGACTTCCAGCCCCCGGGGCTCTACCCGCGGCCCGACTTTGGTGAGCAACCTTTTGGAGGCGGCGGCCCTGGGCCGGGCTCAGCACTGCCTGCACGGGGTCACGGGCAAGAGCCCAGCGGCCCCGGCAGTCACTACGGTGCCCCAGGAGAGCCGTGCCCGGCGCCCCCGCCCGCACCCCTGCCTGGCGCCCGGGCCTGCAGCCAGCCGGGCGGCCCAAAGCAGCCGCCCCCCGGGACGGCACTCAAGCAGCCCGCCGTGGTGTACCCCTGGATGAAGAAGGTGCACGTGAATTCGGGTAAGGCATGGGTCCAGCCACCTCCCTCTATCCCCCCCACACCCTTAGTGGATCTGAGCCCCCCCCGGGGGGCTGCGAGTGGGTGGGGAGTGGGGAGCCTCTTGGGTGCCGCAATTACTCTCTCCATAAATTTTTATAGCTGAGGGAGCAGGCCGGGACCATGTGGCTGACTGCTTGGCTGTGGGCGCAAAAGGGGGTGGGGATGGGGGTGGGGTGGGGGGAGGACTCCATTTTCAAAGCGGAGGGAACGCAGGCAGAGGAGCAGAAGCGTGTTCCCCAAATGCTCAGGAATCAGCAGCTCCGGGTGGGCCAGGGCCAAAGGAACGCGGGGAGCCTGGGGGAGTGGGTGCTGGGGAAGGTGTGCGCAGGGGAGCGGGGCGGAGGGGGGGGGAGACAGGCGAGCTGGAGAGCGCGGGGAGGGCCGTGCGGGCCTCGGGGGCCCGCCAGGAAGTGAGCGGCGGAGGCCAGGGGCCTAAGTAGTGGCTGGGCGCTGACCTGGTTGTACTGTCTGTTTTGTTTCCTAGTGAACCCCAACTACACCGGCGGGGAGCCCAAGCGTTCCCGGACGGCCTACACCCGGCAGCAAGTCCTAGAACTGGAAAAGGAATTTCATTTTAACAGGTATCTGACAAGGCGTCGTCGGATTGAAATCGCTCACACCCTGTGTCTATCCGAGCGCCAGATCAAGATCTGGTTCCAGAATCGGAGGATGAAGTGGAAAAAAGACCACAAGCTGCCCAACACCAAGGGCAGGTCATCATCATCATCTTCTTCTTCTTCATCTTCCTGCTCCTCCTCAGCTGCCCCGGGCCAGCATTTGCAGCCAATGGCCAAGGACCACCACACGGACCTGACGGCCTTATAGAAGTGGGGATCCTGGGCCCATCCCTCTCTGTGCTCCAGGCTGAGCCGAAGCTGTGGGGGCAGGCCGGGCCTGCTGTCACCTCGCTGGGTTCTAAGGTACTGTGGGGTGGACCTGGGACCTGCAGGCCGCCCTCGGACTAGGTTAGCATCCTGCCCGAGGGCAGCCCCCTCCCTAGAGTGGGGATGGGGGTGGGAGGGTGGGCGGGATTCTGTAAGTATATGATCCTATGGCAGGAGCTACTGAGAACATAAAACCCTGGCGAGTCATTAAACTCATGAAAATCTCTGCTGTTGGATTTTGAATTTGCAAATGAAGGTTGGATGCTTTATCCCAGTGTGGATTTGGACGTTCTCCCCCACTCCACCCCTCCAGGGAGCTTTGTGGTTTACTTCATGTGGGGGAGTTGAAGCAGAAGGTTGCCCCCCCCCTGCTAGGTGCTTCCAGTGAGACCAGGAGAGACTGCCAAAATTTCTGAACTTTCTGACGTGGCTTGTATTATTGCCAGTGTGCTAAAAAGAATGCCATGCTCCCAGTGGCCCATGCTCAAAGAAAAATCTAAGAAGGAAGTACAAATGGGTTGTTTTATGTTTAGATTATATTTGCTTTATTATTTATTTGTTGGGGGTTGGGTACAGAAAATAACTGACACCTTCCTGCCAAAATTCTTAAGAGAGTAAAGGGGTTGAGCTTCAAGCAGCTGAGTCAGAGATAGGTAGACTTACTTTTGGCTATAACTGGCATTGTGATCTCCACCCCCTTCCTACTCCCTAGAAATAAGTATAGAGGCCTTTAATGCTTCTAGAGAGAAGTAGAGTTCTTGAAAATGTATTCCCACACATGCTTACACTGTGATTGCACTGTGCTTACAAGCAGTTCTGGGTGGTTGAAGGAAGAGGGAGGAAAAAGGAAACAAATGGCCCAACATTTTCTTTCTGAGGAATGAAAACAAAACCTCTGTGCTCTGACTTGTTCGATAATGACTGAATTTTCTGTTCCAACCAAATTCCAAATGTCCCAAAGATTCCTCATTGCAGTATTTGATAAGAATTCATGTGTGGCTTATATGGGTGTGGGGCTGTGCAGTTGAGGAAAAGTGAGTAGGTGAACAAGTCTTGTGTTTTTGAAAAGGAATTATGCCTAGAAGTACACAAAAGTTGCTCTTAGAGTTTTCCCTAAAGTTTTATTTTTTTTTAAAGCAAACTGCATAAGTGATTTTTTTCAAACCATTAAGCAGAAGCAGAAATTGCAAACGTATAAAAGTTTTCAGGCCCTCTTCTTTGCCTTGAAAATCATGGCTTTATAAACAATAAATCAACAACAAGACAGATTTTTTTAGTCACTTTTCTTATGTATGGCATGTCTGTGAAGAGCTTAAAGCTCAGTTTTTCTAAAATGTTGAGTCTTAAGGACAAGGGGCATAGAGTAAAAGGTAATAACTAGAGTTGATACTCAAATGAAACGAGTCTTTGAAAGTTTTAACCCCCAAAAGCCTTCTACTCCAAAAAAGAGACCCTTGACTCCATCCACCAAAAAGTGACAAAGGAGGGGGAGGGAGATGGTATAAACTTAAATCTTAATTCTCAGATCCATAATGAAGTTACTTGCTCAGTACTTTAGAACATTTTAGCAGGTTTTAGTAGCAATCTTTAAAATACACTTAAGTGGAGGGGAGGGGAAAAGACTTTTTCTTGAAGGCATGTTCTTTGGTTGTGTGTCTCCTGAGAGCTAAGGGCAGGTATTCACTGAGGTCCCTATGCTAAAATTCCACTTCTCTAAAGTATCATCCAAGCCTTGGTCTTTTGTATTAGACCCTGGGGGCAGCTCTTTGTTCCTCCTTGGGGTGAGCCTGGCTCTCAGACTTGCACATGGCAATACTTGAATATCGCCACGTCGGGATATTAAAGATGGATATTCCTGCATTATTCCCATCATTGTTTCTATGACAAAAAGCACAGAGTTCATACATAGTCAAGACGTCTTTTTTCTGACGCCCTCACGTTGAGAAGCTGAAAAGGTATTTTACTGAAGTTTGGCTAAATTACAGAATCAGGTTCATCCAGAGGACAAATTTTCTATTCGATTAGCTGTATTTCAGCCGGGAGGACTGACCTCTAAACCCTTAACCTTTTGGACTCTAACTACCCTTCTCTTCTTTTTTCCCCCCTTCTAACTTGGAGAACAGTCTTTGGATGTAGCATTTGAAAAGAGCCGCTGTCCTTAGGCAAATTGGAAAGTTGCTAAGATGCTTTCCTAAAACCCAAATATGTGCATACATTGAGGCTTCTTCTCCTTGGATGGGGAAAAAGTATATATTTTCACAATATCCAACTATATAGATAATTATGGAGATAATTATATAGATTTTTTTCCCCTCTCCCAAGAAATTCTGGTTACTTACCCAGCTTCAGATCAAATGCCATGCTGCCTTCACCCCTGCCCCAAAAGAAAGCCAAAAGACATGTTTTCCTGAGGAAAACCCCAGCTACTTCTCAAACATAGGCCCACTATTTTGGAAAGTAACTTAATCAGAGAAACAACTTCTTTGTTTATAAGTCTCAGCTCTCTTTCTCAGCTTTGAGGGATTGTCTTTTGAAATGTTAATGAAGCCTGGTTGGCCTAGAGGGCAGCTCCCTATCCTGAAGACCCACTTGGACCCCAGTATCCATTTGGGCCCACAGGAGTGGACTAGGAAAGAAACAGGACCCCCAACCACCCAGGACAGGGGAGGGAATGAGTTTCCATCTGTGAACTGCTTTGGAGAAAGTTTGGTGTGCTAAGGCTCCAGTGCCCATTTGCTATAATTTATTTTCAGTTTATTCCCCCAAATATGAGCCAGAAATGTTTGTTTGGGTGGTGGATTTTTTTCTTTGAAACCTGTGTTGGTGTCATGACAGGGGGAGTGAAGTGTTTGCTGAGTACACTACTCCAGTGACTACCATCTCACTCTGTCCATTGCAGCCTTTTGTTGTGAGATGACATTGTCAGTCAGCCTCGGAGCCTGTTCACATGAGATGCTTTTAAAAGAAAAAATAGAACTGACCAATGTTTCACTGCCACTGATTAAAGTATTATTTATGCTAATTGTTGCTTGTAGTTTTGATGTAATTCGTTTATCTATATTTGAAATAATAAAAGGTGTAGCAAAAAAAAATCTCCCTCCTGTTTGGTGCCTTGAAAAAAGCATTCTTTGTTAAGACTTCTAAAAACTACTATTCAATATAAACAAACTATTTTTTTGCAATAAATTAGGCTCCAATTAATTTGGTGCCTAAGGTGTGGTTAAAACCATATAAAGCTCAGCAATTGTTATGCGCTCCTCCATATACACTCCCAATTTGCCCATCATATCTTGTGATCATTGGAAAGCCTGAGGTTGGATTCAGGCTGTAGGGTGGTGGGCAGTATTTGTTGAAAGAAACAGAAATAACTGGCTGGGCTAATAGGGGGCTCCACCTTGGCTTTCTGTCCTGCCAGCCCCAGCCCCCTTAAGTCTAGGAGCCCTCAGAGGAGGGCTTTTGATTTGTGCTCTGAGAAATCTTCCAGCTCCCCAGATACTGGGAGTGAGTGCTGGTTCTAGGCCGAGCTTAAAGCTAACTGGTGGCTGCTCTGACCTGACCCTGATAGTCTCCAATCTTGGGCTCCTACTTTTCTGGCACTGCTCAGCCCCACTGGGGCCTCCAGCACCTACTTTTCAGCACTTCTCCTGCCCCCCAGACAACAATAAACACTTCTCACTATAAAAAGTACCGGGCACTATTTTTATCACGAGGGCTTTCCCTCATCTTGGCCACAAGCCTTGCAGAGGGGGCCAAGGCAGCAGTCCCAAAAATAAATGGGGGCTTGCTCGAGACAGGAAATGAGCAGACTGCATAAAATCAGACATGTGTCCTTAATATATGGAAGGGCTTACCCCAGACGCGTGGACATGTGTATTTATAAGTGCACAGACAGAAGTTTCAATATTCAGACACATTTTATGATTGTCCTCTGCCCGTCTTCTCTTTAATGGCTCCTCCTGTGCCCACCAATACATCAATACCGTTGTGAGTATTGGATCACCGTCAGGGATGAGGGGGACGCCGGTCCATAGCCTAGCCTACTGAGTACAGTACAGTAAATCGGGACCCTCGGCAGACGGCGCTTCCCGCCAGCGCGCCCGCCATGTTGGGGAGCCCTCCCTGCCCCCCGCACCGGGCTGGGCAGCCAGGGTTCGCCAGCAGTCGGGGGAGGGCCTTTCATAACCCGGAGAATTTTCAAAGTGCGAGGAAGATGATAAGAATAGATTTCTACAAGTCCCGACCACGTGATTGGCGAAATAATTAATTCAGCACGTCCCTTAAGAAACACGGAGTCGTCATTAATCTGCCACGCAAAGGGCTCTCTCCGACTTGGAAAGTGCAGGGATCCCAAGAATATCACCCGCCGAGGGGGGCCGCGCGGCGCCCCCGGCCCTCCACCCCGGCGGCGGGGCCCGGGAACGCGGCCGGCAGGTAAATATTTTGGCGACTTTTATTTCATCTGATTTAAATCCTTAATGAACTTAGCTGTCAGGGCCGCTGACAAATAGTTCCCTTTGCTTCCTGATTTGGAACCGCGCGCCGGCGAGAAGTTGTTAGTGGCTTGGATGGTGACCTTTGGTTCAGCAAAGCTTTGCACTTATGAAAAATTACTGAGAGCGGCCGAGTGGAGGGGGGGTGGAGAGGGAGGGTACGGGTGAGGATGTGAGGGTGTGCGAGGGGCTCGGTGTGAGGGGTGAGGGGCTCGGGTGCGCACTGGCAGCTCCGAGACAACAGGAGTTGTAAAAAGCCGACCCGGCTGGGGACACGCCTGGCGCACGCGGACCGAGGTTGCCTGTGTCTACCGGGAACAATGGTCGCTGTCACGGCATCTGCCGCCTATTCTTAAACCAGCGAGAAAAGGCCCCGGCCCTTTTTTTTTTTTCCCAAACGAGGGTCGTAAATTTTTCTTTGCGTCATAATAGAAGGCTATAAAATCGAGTTGAAATTTTACCCCAGGCAGGTTTTAACCAACAGATAATGATTTCCGAGTTGCTTCTCCCGCTCTCCTCCCTCCCCACCCAAGCTTTGCTGCTTCCGTCACCCCAGCGAGGAGTTTCTTCTTCTTCTTCGCCCTTTATTTTTTGTATTTATTTTTGAAGATCTCCAATAAAAGCAGAAAGAAGTCTTGCCTTTGGAATGGGGGAGTCCAGGGTGAGGGGAAATCTTCGGGAAAGGCTAGCGGGGAGGGAAGGGGGAGAAGCCGGTTGAGCTGGAAAAAAAAATCAAACCCCCAAACTGTCTCCCACGCTCCCATTTCAGCCTTTTTCACCCGCTCGCTCTCCAGGAAGATTTGCCATCCTGAAAGCAAACCTCACTTCCAGCTCATTCCTAGTTTGCTCGCAGAGAGAAAGGCTGGGAGCTGGAGCAGGCATTCTCTCTCTCTGGCTCCAAGATCCGACCTGAGTGCCCAGAGGACAGCCTCTTTAGTCGCCTCCTTTCCTCTTGTCTGTGAGATGCCTCCAGTGACTT